AAAATCTTCATGCATTCATGTGTGAGAGCAATCCAAGGTGTGGAGCTGTAAAAACAAATGAGTGTTTCAGCTCCTCTGAAATCACCTATCACAACAAGAAAACAGTCATTTTGTGTGCTGATATAATTGCTACTCCTACTCCAGCACAAACACACACTAAACAGTGACTATTTGGACAGTTAGGTCAGTCAGTTTCCCAGAGGGAGATTTCTAACGCAGCTAGCAAAAAAAGCAATTCAATGCGTATAATTTCTGAGATTACTCAGATGCAGTTTAATGACACTCTTCATTTCCCAGATCTTTAAAATAGGGGTTGAGAGTGCTGAGCTAGTATGACCCAGAGACCCACAATAGTCACAATAATGGAAAATCCTCTAGGATGCAATAAACCAGAATTACCCTAAAGTTTACAAATGGTGACCAAGATAATGTACACTCTGATAAAAGCACTTCACAAATGAAAAACAATCTTGTCAGTGTTTCCCTGGGCCACGAAAATAACCTTAACAGCTTCCTTTTAAAATTCAGCAGCATACATGATGCTGCAATAACCTGATATCTGCTAACATGTCAGACCTCCACATCTGGCTTTAATTCATGGAGTCATTTGTTTACCTAATATTAGTTAATGGTTAAAATTTTAGTTGGCAGTAAAGAAAGATTAAAATGTCAGGCATTATTCCTCAATAACAAAAACACAAACGTCACCGTGACTTTCATCACTCTGTGGTTTTATTGGTGCTCTTCTAATTGCACTGAATCAACGGAAAGTTATTTTCTAAAGACTGCTATTATCTATACATATTCAGCAGAAATGGAACACAATCATTTGCATATTTTGTTTGTTTTGGGGTTTTTTTTTTTTCATTTTGCAGTTTCATTTTTGCAGCACTTAAATTACATCATCTATCCATCCTTTATTGCCTATTTAAGAATGTAAAAAGAAAACAATATGCACAGACATCCAAGAAATCCATGAAAACGCTATACAGGTACTGGACAAATCAACATTTAAACATATTACAAGAACATATGACAGTAAATTGTTGACATTTACCTTAAAACTCGTGCAGAGAGTATATAAATGATATGATAAAGTCAATGTGATGCTGGAGGTCCTCAGCTAATAGCTCCTTTAAGGGGAATCGTTTCTGTTTATTCCCAGCTCTATATTTATTCTTGGATTCTGCTAGAATAGTTCTGCATGTTTGACAGTTTCCCCTTTACTTACCTTAGCATGCCATACTGAGCCACTTAGTGCATCCTGCCTCAAGCAAACTTTTACCTTCTCTATATTTACGCTAACTTCATTCTGATTGGATCGATTCACAATCAGAACGTTTCTGCACTCACAGCCAGAGTATGCGTCTCATTTGATAATGTTAAGGACATTTACTATTGTGTAGATACATTATTTACTTAGTACTTACAAGTGCATATACTTAGTACTTGTAGACAGACTAATCTCACTATTTAAACTTGCCATGTTTGGTATGATCACTATAGCAGCGTATGTATATTAGAAAAAAAGAAAATTTATTATATGATTGAAGTATTAAAGACACAAACATTTGTATTAGGTGGGTTTGGATTTATGTACCTCATAGCCACTATCTACATCAGAATAATACGGAGCTAATAAGAAACAAGGACACTGGTATCATTTAATTTAAAGTTACAGCTCATTTACTTGCGTCCACTTCTCGTTTACATTTCGTTCAGTCACTCTGAAACTTGTACCGTGTAATTATATTTTCTTTTTTCCCCGTTTTTGATATTACAGTGTCAAATCTAGTGTGAAATTAACTGCTGTCTCCCATAACAAAAACAGCCTAACAGAGCAGATGTGGGTGTGACAGTAAAGTTTTTGAAGTGACATATTGTTTCTTGATGAAGCTGAAGAGGAGGTCGTGGGTGTTTGGATACTGTCAGTCATCTTTCAACTATAGCAAAAAAATAAATAAAAAGGATAATATATTAAATGTGGCAAAAACACATTATGTTAATGGTGATGAACTGATTTTGTGTATGCTTTTTTTAAGAGAAAGGGAAATGAACATGTAAAATCCTCTTAGAAGGCACAACGCAATATCTTCAACTACTCTTACAACATCAAAAACCTCACAATCGAGCACAACAGACTAAGAAGTTACCGTATTAAGCTTTAAGCACACAAGTTACAACACAAAACTCACTCACGCCTATTGTTGGGTACCCCATTCAACTGCTCAATAACATAAATGTCTAACCAGCCAATCACATGATCACAACTCAATCCATTCAGGTAAGATTTCCTGCTGAAGTTCAAACCAGTATCAAAATGTGGAAGACAGATCATTTAAGTGATGGGTTGGGTGTTGGTGCTTAACAGGCTGCTGAGTATTTAATCAACTGTTGATCTGCTGGGATTTTACCACACAATCATGAGTTTACAGAGAATGGTCTGGAAAAAAAATTAAAAATATCCATTGAGTGACTGATCAAAATGCCTGTTTGATGTCAGAGTCAGAGTATGGCCAAACACTTTGAGCTGATAGGACACCACTAGCTACTCAAATAACCACTCATTGCAACTAAGTTATGCAGATGAGCATCTCAAACCTTAAAGGAGATGGGCTACAGCAGCAGAACACCACACCACATTCTACTACTATCAGCTAAGAACAGAAAACTAAGAGTACAATTCACATTGGCTAAGAAAAAACAAGACTTTAAAAATGTTCCCTGGTCTGATAAGCGTCAATTTCTTTTGCAATATTAGGTTGACTGGGTCAGAATTTAGTGTAAACATCAGCAAAGAGTGGATCCACCCTGCCTTGAATCAACAGCTCAGGTCTATGCTGTTGTAATGTTGGAGGGGATATGTTCTTGGTACACTTTGGGCCCTTTATTACCAACTGAGCATTTTTTAAAGTCTGACAATATACCTGAATATTGTTTTTCACCATGTCCATTAATTTATGATCACACTGTACCATCATCCTCCAAACTGGTTTTCTTGAACATTAAAATTAGTTCACTGCACTCAAATGGCCTTCTTGTTCTCAGTTAGAGCTCAATCCAGCACCTCTGAGATGCGGTGAAATGGGAAATTTGCATCATAGATGTGTGATGTTAACACGTCAAATATGGAACAAAATCTCAGAGGAATGTTACAAGCCCCTTGTTAAATCTGTGCCACAAAGAAATAAGGCAGTTCTGAAGATTAAAGGGGTCCAACCCAGTACTAGCAAGGTGCACCTAATAAAGTGGCCAGTGAATATGTAACGTCAAAATCAACTTCAATTGCTTCAGTCCTGACAAACACACTCATTCTTGCTTCACAGTTTTAAAGATTTTTGCTTTTTTTTTGGTCTTAAGTGATATAATGGTTGGTTGGTTGGATGGATGGATGGTTGGATGGATGGATGGATGGATGGTTGGATGGATGGATGGATGGACTTTCAGACTTCTTTCCTTGAGCAGTCCATTATCTTCTGATCGATTTAAATGAATCTGTCAAAGTAGCAGGATACAGATAGTACCAACCAGGCCAGTCAGTGTCCTTGTATCACCATGACGTGGCTACATTTCAGGTTACACCGTGGGTTACCATGTCGGTTTCAGAAGGGTCTGTGGTTACACGAAATCTATTATGACACATAGCTATAAATCCCTAGTTGAATCAACAGTGTAGGTATGTCATAATCACAAAGCTTTTTTAAATCCTACACTGTAACATGACACAAACTTCACTAAAAATTTAACTACACATCGCTTTGATGACGTCCATGCAGTTATTATGGCTGGGAGCGGCATTGGCCATTTGCAAAGGCTACATCATAAGCTCTACATGGAATCAACAGAGGTCTAAATTAAGCCCAACAGTGGTCCAGAGACCTGTTTGGCTGTCATGGGGCAAAAGGTTGACCATCCTCACGGCCCTGAATAGGACAAGAAAATGAATGATAGACAGATACTTTGAAAATATCTTTAAGAGTTCAGCAATAACCATTTTAACTAAATATCTGTTGGCTTGACAGGAAAAAAAGCTGCCCATACTATCACTACCTTCACAATTCAAGCCTAAATTATAACTTGGGAAAACAAAACAGTCCAATTAGTTTAGTTTAGTTAGATTCATTAAGCAACATTTTAAAACACTCTTTGCTTCTGAAACTCATAATCCCTAAATTTTCACTGTCAGCTAAGCAAGCTTTAACCTGCTGAGCAGATTTCAGACACTATGTTGTGGTTCCCAACTTTCTCAGGTATACACCACTTCAGAAGTTGAAAAAATGTTATTTCTCCACACGTTACAGTTTTTTACTAATTCCTTTACATCATTAATCATTTATCTTAATTTCACTGTATATTTTCAGCAGACTGTCCATGCCCTGCAGTTTGAACCACTAGACTATGTGTAGAACTCTGGAAAGCGGTGGTCGATATTTTTCATGATATTCCTACATTTCACGAAGAAGTTATTTAAATCATAAAGACAATACCTGCTACTGTCATCCTTTATTAAGAGAAATCAGTGTGTAGTCCCATTAAAGAAGTTTCAAACGAAGTGAAATCTGCTTCCTGTGAAGGACGTCAGAGATTTGTTAACTTTCCCTCAGCTCACGTGATGTGAACACCTGGACATGTCAGGAAGGATGTTGTGTGCACAGCTGGCTGGCCTGCTGATGCTGCCATTTATTTATTTATTTGCTTGTTTGTTAAATAAACACAAACATGGGTTGAAAACTAAACTCAAACACAGGAATCTGCTTCCATCATATTTGCACAAGGCCCCCCCCCAAAACACACACAAAAAAGCCCAGCAGACAGGAAGCAGAGTTGGGTTAATTACCTCCGCCGAGCATCACCACTGCCACATGCAGCTGCCCGGATCACGTTTCAGCGCACATCTGCTAAAATGCACACTGGCGGAAAGCCGGCCACGTCTCAGCCTCCTGATGTGCGTTTCTTCCTTTAATGACAGCAGCATATGAGTAAGAGAAACCCCCTCTTACCTTCCACATCCAGGCCATTCTTATTTCCACGCAGACAATGGTGGACCGCCTGTTTTCTTCAGCCCGTAAACGCGCTCACCACCTCCGTCTGCAAGCACGTTTCCTCACGTGCTCATCACAGGAGCAGATGCGGGTGCAGTGCGGTGGTATGCGGGGATCGGCTCCATAAATGTTGGAGTGTACCGTTATTCGTCTCCTCTCTGTTTTTTTTTTCCTCCCATGGAGCTGCTGGGACCTGCAACGACGCTGCGTTGCTACTGGCCGGCTGAGACGCGTAGCCCCGCCCCGTGTGCGGCACGTGACCGCCGCTGACGCCCTGGCCCTGGCGTTTTACAACATCAGGAACATGAGGACGAGGGAAACAATAATAACAGAGGGTGCTGTGTGTTGAGTGTAGGCAGAGACGGACTTTAAGGTTATGCAGTACCGCCCCTCATTTCTTCATAATTTGCTTCCAAAGAGCCAGACTCGTTTTTCAAAGTGGTCTTGGATTTTTCCAGACATTCCGATGGTCTTCCAAAGTTGTTGTTTTTTTTGTTTTTTTGGAACATGGGCTGTTTTTTCACTCATTTTTAGTCCAGTCCATCTGATCCTTTTCAGAGGAATGTTTCTTGGTTTTTTTGCGGTTTTTGTTTTTTTAATTAAGCCGCTTAGTGAAAGAATCAATTTCAAATTGCATTTCTACCTCAGTATGGTGTACAGTGTGTACACGTGGGGGATAAAAGAAGAAGTGACAGGCTTAAAAAAAAATTATCTACTGCAGATAAACAGTATTTGATTGTCATGTCCTTGAGGAGAAAAGGTAAAGACCTGACACAGGACCAGAGAAATGTATCTGGCCCTCCTGTTGACATATAGTGTCCATTGAAGCCTCATCAGAAATGGTCTCAGTGGGAGAGTGGCAGTGGCATCGGGTCTCATGGAGTTTTTAGTTCACATTATTGTTAAAGTACACAGATGTCAGGAGGTTGATCAGTGTATACAGCCATTTGTAAAACAAAGGGAAGGCTCTGTCATGGGTGTGGCTGCGTTTCAGCCGATAGTTTTGGAGATCTTGTCAAAATTGATGGAATTCTGAAAGTAGAAGAGCATCGTTAGATTTTCATCCAATCTGAAAGTCTTCTGATTGACAATGTTTTGGTTTTTCAACATGACAATGAAACACCGAGACACACTGCCAATAAAAGTAAAGCTGGATCGAAAAACACTAAATGAAACTTCATTAGTCATGGATTGGCTTCCTAGGAGCCCAGATCTCAAAATTATTGAAGCAGTGTGAGATCATTTTGATGGAGAACATAACAGAAAGTAGCTAGTATCCAAAGAAGAGCTTTGAATGTCCTTCAAGAAGCCCAGAAAACTCAAGACTTTTAAACAGTGCTGTGTTTAAACAATGTTACTGCCATAGGTATAGTGTGAATCTAACTATATGTCACTTACTGTTGCCTGAAATTTGCTCAAATAAGTGTACTGGATGGCGTACACTGTTTGAGTTAAGACATGAGTGCTTTTCCAACCAGAGAGGAGTTGTTTTTGTTTTTATTTAATATCCCTTTCTTGCAACATCTCTGTTTGAAACATAATGCAGTGAGGCTCCCAGGTAGTCTGACATTATTATTATGATTATTATCATATTAGAGTCAAATGGTAAATGGACTTTATTTGTATAGCGCTTTACACAACCAGTCATCCACCCATTCACACACTGGTGTTGGCAAACTACATTGTAGTCACAGCCACCCTGGGGCACACTGACAGAGGCCAGACACTGGCGCCACCTCTGACCACCACCACCAGGTGAAGTGTCTTGCCCAAGGACACAACGACCGAGACTGTCCAAGCCGGGGCTTGAACCAGCAACCTTCCGATTACAAGGCGAACTACCAACTCTTTAGCCACGATCGCCCTCAAGACAAATAAAGGCATTTTTCAGTCTTCTTTTGAAGACAGAGCCAAACGTGACAGCTTAAAATGTCTGGCTAATATCAAGCTTAACCTGATATAACTATGCAGTCAATGAAAAATCCATTTATTTAAATTTACTGCTGGACTTAATAGATCAGATATTTTTCAGCAAGATTTCTGCTCATGTTCAGAACTGTCTACACAATTACACTTTTACACATGTTTGATCTGTGTTTTGGGATGCTTTTTACCTCAGCTACATCACTGAAGCTAACCAAAATGAGAAGGAAAGGGAACATTATGCAAAGCGTTTAGAAGTAACTTTTCTATGAAACATTTACTACTTTCATGAACTTGGTGGTATGATGTGGTCCTGAATTATATCTAATCTACAGAAAAAAAAGTGCTGTCAGTCATATTCACTGATTTTTCATTTTTTCTCATCTCTTTCTCTGGTTTCCTCTTCTGAATTCATACAAGTCAAAGTATAGGTGTAGGAATTCAGAAGAGGACAAGTAATCATTACTGTACAAAATCAGAGTAAAATACATATAGACAACTATTTATATTCTGTGTGTTATTTACAGGATGCCAATCTTCATCTTTATTTTTTAACAAAAGAGTTATCTGATACCAATACTGTGTGTTGTTTACCTTTGAGGCACACTGATCTGATCAGACACTATACTCCAGTAGTCCTTGAAATTCAAAAAGTTCTAAACTGGTAAATTGTAAAAATCAACATGTGATTTCACCAGTGCTGAGACGAACAAAGTTAAAATTGAATCATAAGTCAGGCAGAAAGAGGCAGAATGATAACACAGTGCCCCGCTGAGAGAATTTGGAACTGGAAAAATCTAATCTGGGATTTTAATGTGAGGATTTATTTTCCTTTTTTTTTTTTATATTTAGCTTGCTCTGTGAACCCAAAGCACAGCTGTTACCTTTGAACTGGCAATACAGGTCAAATGTGCTCGAGGGCCTACAGCTGGACTGCAGCTGATGGGCCCTGGAGCTGAGGGTGGCCCAGTTTAAACTAAAATAATGACAAAGTCAATGTTAATTCAATTCCATTCATATCATTTTGGTTCAGTTTTACTAATATAAATTCACATTCACAGCCATCTAAAGATACTTTATATTGTAAAGACCCTACAGTATTAGAAAGATGTTTAAAGTCCATTTGTTTCATTAATGGTGGATCTTAGAAGGTTAACCAAAGCGATGGGTAACTGAGCATGCTTTCAATCATTTAAGGATCTCACATGTGTTAATTCACTTGTGGTTTGCTTTCCTTATCACAATGGTCTAAGAAGCGTGTGGATGTAAGTGCACAGTGAGGTAGATTTGTCTTCAGCCACTCCTTTGTTACCTTGGTTTTGGGTCATTCTTATGCTTGAAGACCCATCTGTGAGTCATCTTCAGTGTTCTGGCTGAGAGAAGGAGGCTCTTGTTCAGGATTTTGAACCCTTAATAGAAAAACAGCTGCAAAGCATGTTTCCTCCTCCGTGCTTAAGTGTGGGGGTGGTGTGATTTTGGTTTCATCTGACCACAGCAGTTTCTCTGAGTCTCTGGCAAATTTAAGATCGTCCTATACATGTTCCTTCTTGAGCAGAGGGACCTTGTGGACCCTGCATTGTGTGTTACCTCCCAGTTTGGGGCTGATCCGCCACCTTTCTCATGATCATTCTAACCCCATGAGGCAAGAACTTGCATGGAGCTCCAGACTGAGGGCAATTGGTGGTCATTTTTATTTGTTTCATTTCCAAATAATCACACCAATATTTGTCATTTTCTCACCAAGCTTCTTGCTGGTGGTCTTGTAGTCCATTCCACCCTTGTGCAGGTCAACGGTCTGCTTCTTGGTGTCCTTTGACAGCTCTTTTGTCTTTCCCATGATGGTGGAGGGGGAAAAATCATTGTGAGGACGTGTGCTTTATACACAAAATAAGCTGCAATCAGTAAGAGTATCTGTAATTGACTAATTGTATGACACACAGCCAATCTGGGAATTCCGGTTGAGTTATTTCACTCAATGACCTGCAAAGCGACTTATATCTTTTATGTAATGTATTTTTTTGTGGATTTTTGGTTAATATTCATTCTCTCTCTCTGCTATAATGAAACTATTATAACAATTAGAGACTGTTCAATACAAATTCAACAGGGGATTCCCCCACTGTCCGCACAGAGTCCTCGCTCTTTACATACAAATAATTATTTCCCTCACTGTACGTACAACTGCTTAAAAATTGAGACAGACCCCATAGACTCCAATTTAAAAAAAAGAAAGAAAAAAAAAGCTTTACCACCCCACCACCACCCCCTTCAACACAGCAGCACAATCTTTTTTCTATTGTTAAACCCATTTAGGAGTCACCACAGCAGATTATCTCCTTCCTTCCCTATCCCTAGCATCTTCTGTCACACAAATCCTCTGCATCCATAACCTTTCTCTGGGTCTTCCTCTTTCCCTCCTGTCTGGCAGCTCCAACTTCATTACACCCGCCATCCCTCCTCTGCACATGTCCAAAACATCTCCGCCTTTCCTCTCTAACTTCTCCAAACGCTCAGTCTGAGCTGTCCCCCTCATGTACTCATTTCCACTCCTATCCATCCTGTAAACGTTCTTTTTTTGTTAATAAATTACACATTTAAATTGCATTAGAGGTTCATTCATGAGCACAATTACTCAGTGAGAGGGTTTGTTCCGTTTGATCTTATTTAGTGTTCAGTTGTACCGAGACACACAGGTGCACCTTGCTAACCAAGCCAGCTAGCCAGTGCTGATACTTTCCTGGGTCTGCCTTGTCATCCAAATAAAGTCACATACATTTTTAAAGCAAAGAAAAATGGCAAAAGTCATGCTGGCAATAAGTTTAAGCAGCAGAATACAAGCCGACGACACAGCAGCATAAAAATAGATATACTTCTGGGGTGTTCATGTGTGCCCACATGCACATTCATACTGCTCGAGTATAATCCTAACTTTGTCACTGATTGGCTTAATATTGAAAACTATGAAAAACTATAACATTTGAACTCCTAATGAACTTGTTGACAGATGGCATTTATCAACAGATATTTTATATTGGTGGTTTTTCTTCTACTAATACATAATCAGATGTACTTAAATGTAGTAGAATTTTTTTGCATTTGTATATTTTCAGTACAAATTCCTGATTATACTTGTGTGCCTTTACTCAAATAACATTAAAACACAGTAAAAATTGAAGTACTGCCACCATAGAGTTAAGGGTTCAATTTACATAGAGGGCAGGTTTGTTACAGTTGGGAAGGTAAAAAGTTAAGGCTATATTTATTTATTTCATGACATGA